CGAAAGGGTGCAAAAATAAACCAGATGATTGTGGTTGGGGTCAGTGCTACCAAGTAGGCCCCAGGGTGCCTGATTAGAGCACAGCAGAGGCCCCCTTGCAGGGAAAGAGGGGAGGAAAGGCCATGCAAAGATGCAGGAGAGCATGCCAGGCCGAGGCTGACCTTGGGAAGGAGCTGGCACTTTGCAGACCCAACAGAAGACTGTGAACTGGGGCCCATGGAGGGAGGGAAGGGGAGGCCCATAAGATGGGCTGTGGGGGACCAGGTGTTTAGAGAGTGGACCAGGCAATCATCTCAGGGTATTAAGCAGTGGTCAGAGGGGCACTTTAAAGCCCCCCTGGTGGGGATCCCTGGGTGGCTCAGTGGTTTAGCATCTGCCTTCAGCCCAGGGCATGATCCTGGAGACCCAGGATCAAGTCCCACATCGGGCTCCCTGCATGGAGCCTGCTTCTCCCTCTGCCTGTGTCTCTGCCTCTCTCTCTGTCTCTGTGTGTCTCTCATGAATGAATAAATAAAATCTTAAAAAAAAATAAAGCCCCCCCTGGCTGCTGGGGGAGGATGGGTCCTATGTGGAGAGGAGGGGAGAGGCACGGAGCCCTGCTTTGCTGTGCTGACCTGGCATCTGTGGGCCAGTCTCTCATCCCACCACACCTGGGGCTTTGTGCTGACCTGCCACCCAGGCTTGGGGCACCCCGACATGCACACTTCCAATGTGCCAGGCTGTACCTGAAGCCACCCCTCCACCCCTCCCTCCCCTCCCTACCTTCTGGTCCACCTCAGCTCCCAACCCTGCTGCTGCCCTGCTCGTTCTAGATTCCGGATCGACATCCTTTTGAAACTTACAATATTAAGCATTATTAACTTCTTAATATTAAAAAAAAATCTCAAACGTGAAAGAAAATGAAAAGAGGGGCAGCCCGGGTAGCTCAGCGGTTTAGTGCCGCCTTCAGCCCAGGGCCTGATCCTAGAGACCTGGGATCGAGTCCTGAGTCAGGCTCCCTGCATGGAGCCTGCTTCTCCCTCTGCCTGTGTCTCTGCCTCTCTCTCTGTGTCTCTCATGAGTAAATGAATAAAATATAAAAAAAAAAAAAGAAAATGAAAAGAATAGTCAAATAAACACCAGTATACTCAACCGTTAATACCATTCTGCCATTTTTGTTTGTCCTTGTTCTATCTATAAATAAGGTGGTGGTGTTTTTCCTGAGCCATGTGAAGAGTGCAGCTGTGCTCTTTTTTTTTTTGTGCTCTTTTATTATAAACACTCTAGCATGCATCTCTTAAGAATAAAAACATTCATAGTGTAATAACTTCCTTAGTGTAATAAAAATGTATTCTTTTGAAAAAAAGATTTTATTTATTTATTCATGAGAGACACACACACACACACACACACACACACACACACAGAGGCAGACGCATAAGCAGAGGGAGAAGCAGGCTCCCTGCAGGGAGCCTGATGAGGGACTTGATCCCAGGACCCCGGGATCGCACCCTGAGCCAAAGGCAGATGCTCAAACACAGCCATCCAGGTGCCCCTAAAAATACATTCTTAATGTAATAAAAAATGTGGTATACATAGACCACAGGAGACTATTCAGCTGTAAAAAAGAAGGAAATCCTGCCATTTGTGACAACATGGATAGACCTTGTGGACATGATGTTAGGTAAAAGGAGAAAGACAGGGCAGCCCAGGTGGCTCAGCGGTTTAGTGCCTGCCTTCAGCCCAGGGCCTGATCCTGGAGACTGGGGATCAAGTCCCACATCGGGCTCCCTGCATGGAGCCTGTTTCTTCCTCTGCCTGTGTCTCTGCCTCTCTCTCTCTCTCTCTGTGTGTGTGTCTCTCATGAATAAATAAATAAAATCTTTTAAAAAAAGGAGAAAGACAAATATTATATGATTTCATGTATATGTGGAATCTAAAAAAGCCAAACTCACAGATGCAGAGAACAGATTGGCAGGTGCGGGGGTGTGGGTGGGGGAGACGGGTGCAGGTGGTTAAAAGGTACAAACTCCCAGTCATGAGATAAGAAGGTTCTAGGCATGTAGTAGACAGCATGGTGACTCTGGTTAACAATACTGTATTGTATGTTTGAAAGTTGCTAAGAGACTAGATCTTATAATCCTCATCACAAGAAAAAAAAAATCATAGCTATGGGAAGTGATGGCCATTCACCAAACTTACTGTGGCGATCACTTCCCAGTATATACATGTGACAAATCATTATGTTGTCAGTGGATACAATGTTATGCCAATGCAACCGGAAGAAAAAAAAAGAACAAAAACATTCTTCTACATGGTCATAATCAAGAAAATGGACAGTGATCCCCTGATGTCATCTTACATCCAGCCCACCCTAAATTTCCCCAATTAGCCCTCAAATGTGCCGTAAGTATATTTGAACTGGGATCCAGCCAAGGATCATGTATCACATTTGGTTTGTCTCTTTAATGTCCTATAGGATAGGGATCCCTGGGTGGCGCAGCGGTTTGGCGCCTGCCTTTGGCCCAGGGCGCGATCCTGGAGACCCGGGATCGAATCCCACATCGGGCTCCCGGTGCATGGAGCCTGCTTCTCCCTCTGCCTGTGTCTCTGCCTCTCTCTCTCTTTCTCTCTCTGTGACTATCATAAATAAATAAAAATTAAAAAAAATTTATTAAAAAAATGTCCTGTAGGATAGAATATCCCCCTCTATCTCATTTTTCCCTTGGATATTGACTTTTTGAAGAACTGCACCAGTTGTAGGATGGCATAGAATGTGCAGAATGGTTTGTTAGAATATTTCCTTGTGGTGTCATTTAATTTGTTCTTCTATTAGTTACATTTCCTATAACCTGGACATTGGGTCCAGAGGTCTGATTAGATTCAGTTTAAATATTCTTTTTTTTAAATTTTTATTTATTTATGATAGTCACACACACACAGAGAGAGAGGCAGAGACACAGGCAGAGGGAGAAGCAGGCTCCATGCACCGGGAGCCCGACGTGGGATTCGATCCCGGGTCTCCAGGATTGCGCCCTGGGCCAAAGACAGGCGCCAAACCGCTGCGCCACCCAGGGATCCCCTTTTCATTTTTTATTTTATTTTATTTTGTTTTTTTTTGTTTTTGTTTTTGTTTTTTGTTTGTTTGTTTTTAGTTTAAATATTCTTGACAAGAATCCTTGATGAGGGCAGCCCGGGTGGCTCAGCAGTTTAGGGCTGCCTTCAGCCCAGGGTGTGATCCTGGAGACCTGGGATCGAGTCCCACGTCGGGCTTCCTGCATGGAACCTGCTTCTCCCTCTGCCTGTGTCCCTGCCTCTCTCTCTCTCTCTCTCATATGAATAAATAAATAAAATCTTTAAAAAAATCTTAAAAATAAAAAGAATCCTTGACGAGATCAACTTCCTATCATCCCATCAGGAGACACACAAGGCAGTTGCCCTATTACGAGTGACATGAAGTTTATTCATATTTCTTGATGGTGGAGAAATGGCTAGACTTCTTATATATTTCTCCACAGTATCTAAAAAAGGGTTGAGCATCCAGCAATGTGTAATAAATACAGCTGGTTCTTGTTATTGGCAGTCGTTGCTCTATAAAGTCACTGAGAACACTGAGTTACGGAATACTGAACCATTGCTTCTAGGGCATCTACAGAGTTAGGTTCCTGTGGGCCTTTTGTTACGTTTTTGTCAAAAGATCAGTACAGAACCCTGTTTTATTTATTTTTAAAGATTTATTTTACTTATTTGGGAGAGACAGAGAGCAAGAGAGAGTGAGCAAGAGAGAGAGCATGAGCGAGGGGAGGGGACGGGCAGAGGGGAAGCAGACTTTCTGCGGAGCAGGGATCACCACGCAGGGCTCCATCCCAGGACCCGGGGATCATGACCTGAGCCAAAGGCAGATGTTTAACCAACTGAGCCACCCAGGCACCCCCAGAACCTTGTTTTCTGTGTGTTTCTGTTTAATGACATCTTATTTAACAGAGTTTTTGATTCATTAACATTGAGCTGATGGCCAACAATACTGTAATTCCTTCCTGAATGAAGCTTATCTAGCACTTGTATCTCTCTAAGGCTGTAGTAGCCAGCCCTTCATCCCTACACTTGAGGGCCATTTTGCCATTTTATTTTATTTTATTTTTAATTCTTTTTTTTTAATTTATGATAGTCACAGAGAGAGAGAGAGAGAGAGAGAGAGAGAGAGAGGCAGAGACACAGGCAGAGGGAGAAGCAGGCTCCATGCAGGGAGCCCGGTGTGGGATTCGATCCCGGGTCTCCAGGATCGCGCCCTGGGCCAAAGGCAGGCTCCAAACCGCTGCGCCACCCAGGGATCCCCTTATTTTATTTTTTTAAAGATTTTATTTATTCATGAGAGACACACAGAGAGAGGCAGAGACACAGGCAGAGAGAGAAGCAGGCTCCCTGCGGGGAGCCCCATGCAGGACTTGATCTCAGGACCCCGGGATCATGCCCTGAGCCAGAGGCAGATGCTCAACAGCTGAGCCACCCAGGCATCCCCATTTTGCCATTTTAAACAGTAGAATCACCAACAGAAAGCACAAAAATGCAAAAACTATAGCATGCAGTAGACTGTGGAAAGTAGGACACTTGCTTACAGTGTGAAAGCCAAAACAAGAAGGGGTCACCTTTGTCATCCTCAGCTAGGGATGTGCATATGGGGAAGTTTTGGAACGCCTTGGAATGACCATGGGTGACCTCATAAGAACCACGAGTATTGATTTTGGAGATACAGATTTTAGCAGGTCGATGAATTCAAAATGTGGAAACTTTGGATAAAGAGGATCCATAAATATACCGGATTAAACCAATCCGAGCCAGCCATGTGACCTTGAGTTAGTTGCATTACCTCTCTGAGCTTCATTTTCCTAACCTGTCCCTCTGCAGGGTGGTCTTTGAGCTTTTCCCAACACTGGAATCCTGGGACCTGGGTGGGAATTGAATTTCTCCTGGCCTGGCTTTCTGTGGATGGAGGGACCCCAACCCCTTTTCTTTCCCGGCAGGTTTGTGGACTTCCACGCAGCTGCCTCCACCTGCTCGCCCTCTCGGGCCTCCCTGCTCACCGGCCGGCTTGGCCTCCGCAACGGAGTCACGCACAACTTTGCGGTCACCTCTGTGGGGGGCCTTCCGCTCAACGAGACCACCTTGGCTGAGGTGCTGCAGCAAGCCGGCTACGTCACGGGGATGATAGGTAACCCCGATGCTCCACAGCCTGGGATCCCCATCTCCCACAACACTTCTTGCAGTGCCTGCTTCGTCTCTGTGTAGCCCCGGCATGTGGCCACCTCTTCTGCTCCTCTCTGCTTGTCTTTATTTCTTGCTGTGTAAGGTTGGAAAGCTTTCAGCTGTAAGTAACTGAAAACACCTAACAGGGAACGAAACCATACATGGAGGTAGGTATTTTCCTTCTATTATAACAACCTTAGAGGTGAGTGATGGCCTTCGTTGGCTCGGCAGCTCAAGAAATCCATTTCTGTTTCTCTGCTCTGCTATCTGTAGGATGGTAGCTTTTGTCCTCATGCTTGTTGCTCTTGGTTGCACCACTCACCAGAACCTGGCTTCACGGGAGGAAAAACAGCGGGGAGGAGGTGCAGGCCTCGTGTGTTGGCTTCTACCCGGAAGGCCAATCTTTTCTCAGACTCGCCCCACCTTCCCTGCAGAAAGAAATGCACTTAAGTCTTATTGGTGGATTTGTGTGGCCACGCTCCGCTGCAAGGAAGCCTGGGAGGCCGGGCTCAGGGTTGTACTGATGGGCTTGGATTGGGGCACGTGTCTCTGATCCCCTAACAAATCCAAAGTTCTGGTAGCGGGATGAGTGGGAGAGGCATGGGGGCAGGTCAGGCAAGCAGCAGCACCTGCCACACAGGCCTTTTAGGATTTTTGTGGGTCCCTCTTGCTCAACATTTCCTACATGCGTGGCAGCGGGCTAGGTTTTTATTTGCATCAGGGTACGGAGATGCCTTCTGAGGTCGTGATTGGCCCCGTGAGAAAGCTGAGCTCGGTGCTACCTAGACAGGAGCATGTGGGTCCAGACAGGTGTGACTGCTCTGATGCTTGGGCTTCACTGCTGCTCCTCCCTCCGGAGGCCAAGGCAACGCGCCAGTCCCAGCGGCGTCCTCGGGCTGCCTGTGCTTGTTATTCTGACTTTCTGAGCGCTGGGCCCCGTGGGGGTCCCGTGGGGGTTCCTGCCTCGCTCTCCAGTATGCAAAGTGGCAAGGGAGGCTGTGCAACCAGCAGGATGGCAGCGCGGGTCCCCGGGGGCAGTGACCGGTGCCTGGAGCTCCCATGTTCACCTGCAGGAGGCTCCAGTTTTGGGTGTTGGGCCTGCCTCCTCCTCTTCTGGGTCAAGGAGCCCGACCAATTCCTACAGAGTGGAGTGGGGCATTCGTGGTCCCAGGGGGGCAAGCCCCAGTGGGAGGAGGTATAAATTAAGATCCTGCTTTTTCAATCCCTTTCTGGCCATACCCCGAGGTATCAGGTATCGTTACTGTGAAGCCTCCCTGTGGGCTGAATCTTCTTAGCGGCCCCATCCCTTGCATCCGAGTCATGCTCACAGGCAGGAAGGGTTTGGCCCTTGGGGCTCCCCAACTCTAAAGTTTCATGAGGCAACAGGGGACTGGGATCTTCCTGAGCTGAGGTGGATCTCACTCACCCTTCCCTCTTCATACCTTTGAACTCCAAGTGAGCAGCTGCTTACATATTAACCGTTCAGGGGCTCCGGTCTCCCCTCACTGCTCATTCCACCTTTTGCAAATTAGAGCGAGAATAGTCAACTACAACCATGTGTTGACAAGATGCACTTCCTCCAAGCATGCTTATGGGAAGAAAATCAACCCCCCCCCAAAAGAACATCAAGACCCTTTGCCCCACCCACACTTTGCTTCTAACCTTGTCCACGGTCATGTGTTTTCACCTAGGTTTTTTTTTTTAAGATTTTATTTAATTTATTCATGAGACAGAGAGAGAGAGAGAGAGAGAGGCAGAGACAGGCAGAGGAGACAGCAGGGTCCATGCAGGGAGCCCAATGTGGGACTCGATCCCAGGACCTCGGGGTCACAACCTGAGCCAAAGGCAGACGCTCAACCACTGAACCACCCAGGTGTCTCATTTTTACCTAGTTGAATACACCACTTGATCCTCCTTTTAGCCCCTGCCTATTGTTTTATGTTTCTATGTAATATAATTTTACATATTTACAATAGTTTCAAAAATTTTAGAAATAAGTTAAACACTTTAATATAAGTTAGGGTTTCCATGTAATGCTTAGTCCAAACCTATATTATGTTTCCAAACCTACAGAGCAGTTGCAAAAAGGGAACAATAGGCACTCACATGCCCTTTCCCTAGATTCCCTGATTATTACCTTTTGTGACGTGTGTTTGCCTCTAAAAGATAGCTTGGTAGTATTTTGCCCAGACCACGTGAAATAATTTCCGTAGCCATATGCTTCCTCGGTGGCCCGTTTCTTTCTTTCCCTTGGGTGTCATTCAATGGCCCTCTTTCAATCTTTGCACCACATTCTTTTCTTTGCCCCTTGCCTCATGGGTGGTTTCCCTGGGGTCCTCAGAGCAGAATTAGCAGGTCGGGGAGTTCAAACAGGGCCAGGGCTTCTGGCACACATCACACAGTCATTCTCCCCCCTGAACAAACACATGCACAGAGTGAGGAGCAGCCGTGGGAGTCCAGGTGAGCATCTCTGCGCTGGGACAGCCCTGGGAGGGGGAGGTGGTCTTCGGTCCGGCCTCCTCGGGCTGCTGCTGGTGGCCAGAGAGGAAGGTGATGGAACCAGGAGGGAAGCCGGCATCTCCACGGCTGTCCGGGGCCCCACGCTTGTCCTCTGGGCCTCTGCAGGTCCCCTGCACAGGAGGGCAGAGCAGGTGCGAAGACGTGGGCTGCTGTGGGCACTGAGCCCTCTTGCAGGAGCAGAAGCTCAGCCTGCTGGCTCCTTTGGGCCCCCAGTAAAGGCTTGTCTTCCTTTTCTCTGTGTGCTTTCCTGCAGAGGTCCTGAGTCATCCCTGCTTGCTTTTTTTGTCCCCTTGGGGTCCCTCTGAGTCCCAGAGAGCAAGGCTTGGCTCTCACATGGCATTTGCAGGGTCTCTGCTTGTCCTCTGTCAAGGGCAACACTGATGGAGGAGCGAGTATGTGTGATCAACCCCCCCAAGTCACTGGGAGCCCCTGTGGGGATTCCTCTGAACGTCTCTCTCTTGCTTTCCTACAGGCAAATGGCACCTCGGGCACCATGGCCTTTATCACCCCAACTTCCGTGGTAAGAATTCTTTGGGGGAACGTGTTACCTGGGAAACAGAAAGCAAAGACCTTGGTGGGATAGGACTCCAATAATGTTGAAGCCATCCTGCTCCTGGGGCACATCCCTCCTGAGTTAGGGCATCTTCATCTCAGGGTCACTTAAGAGCATTTGGGGGACCCAGAGCTCCCGTTGGTCGTCTCACATTCTTCTCTCCTGGCATCTTTCCTGCCCCCCGCCCCTCCTTGGTGCCTGCCAGCCCTCTGGCTTTCTCATCGTGAGCCCATCAAGTGTCCACATCTTGGGACACATTTGGCACCTGTGAGTTCCTGACCCGTCTAGTGTGCGAAGAAGTCAAGCTTGTCCAGCGGGTTCACCGAAGCAGGCCCTAAACTCAAACAGGAGATGTTCCCTCTTGCCTTCTTGCTGCAGCTATTCACAGCCTCAGACTCCTGATTCTCTGGCCTTGGGGATTAGGCCAGGATCAAGCTGCCTGAGCCAGTTATCTGAATATCAGTTTGCTGATTGATGAGTTCTCTGAATGTCCAATTCCCCAAATTATTATTATTATTATTATTATTATTTTAAAGATTATTTATTTATTCATGAGACACACACACACAGAGAGAGAGAGAGAGAGAGAGAGAGAGAGAGAGGCAGAGACACAGGCAGAGGGAGAAGCAGGCTCCGTGCAGGGAGCCTGACGTGGGACTTGATCCCGGGTCTCCAGGATCACACCCCGGACTGAAGGCGGCACCCGCTGGGCCACAGGGGCTGCCCCAATTCTCCAAATTATTGATGGTTTTTCCAAAGTTGTGGTCACCTCTGCGCTCCTCCCTGACCCGCCTCTTCTATTTCAGATGGGAACCCACAGATGTTCTCTTGAAAGTGATTTATCATGATCTCAACTTCTGAGGCTTCTCCCCAGTTCCTCCCTGGCATGTGCTTCCCAGCTGCTCTTGCTATTTTATCAGCAAATGGGTGGCCCTTTCCTTAAATGTGGTTCTCTATTTTGCAGACTTTCCCCCAAGCCCCAATATCTCCCTCTAGCTCCATGGGAAGAGGCTGCAGTGCTCTCTCCTAGACGTGAGGAACTGTTTGCCTCTGAAGATTTTTGCATTTCAATGGCTTCTAGAGAATCGGCCTCCAACCAGCCTTCAGCCTTGGGCTCCCATTGGCCAACACCTTGTCCAACTCCTTTCTCCCCTCTGGGGCTCCCTCCAACCCCCTGTCTTCCCTTGTGCCCTGTTTTTCAGTTGGGCTTCCATGGCATCTTCCACATATGCTTTTTACAGAGTGACAGGTGAAGGAAGTGAAGACCTGGCGTTTCCACTAAAAATGACCACAGACCTTATTTTTCCCGCATGTTGCTTCCTCCTTGACAAATGAGGAGGTTGAGCTAGATTGAGGTGTTGACAACTTGAGTGTGTGTTTCTGGAGTCTGGTGCGGGGGGGATGGATCCTGAGACTGGATCCTGCTCAGCAGGAAGTGGTGCCATTTTGGATTTGTGGTGTCTCCCATTGGGACTGAGAAGAGAGAGCACCTGCCATACATTTGTGTCCTTGGACCAGATAGTCTCAAAAACTCTGCTGCCTCGGGCATTCAGAGGTTTTCTTGATTCCTTTCTCTGAGTTCACTTGTGTCCCCTCCTGCTTCTTATACCCCTTTCCTGGTGCACTGTCCCATACTCCATTACCCTCATCCAAACCTCTTATAGTTTAATCTATATATCTTACTTCGCCTTCAATCCCTTGAGGGCAGAGTATTTTATTCCTTAAAGTGCCATGTATGTACTTGATTTTCATTAAATACTTAGCGAGTGTGTTCATAACTGCCCTGGGGACGGTAGGTGTGCAATACTTCTCTCCACTTCCTCCCACTCTGGGTTAACTCTAATCCCAAGATGTTTTGCAAATCTAGTCTTACAGCCAGAACCCAGCAAGGTATTTTCTTTGCATACTACAAAGGGATATTAATCAAATCCTCTTTTAATTACATACTCCATAGCACTGCAGTATTAAATCATAGAAAATTAAATTTTTGTCCTAGGTGTAAGAATGCAGGCTCATAGAACAGAAGCCAAGTGGGGGTGCTCACCAGTTGCTTCTCTTCCAGGTTTTGATTACTACTTTGGAATCCCATATAGCCATGATATGGGCTGCACTGATACCCCAGGCTACAACCACCCTCCTTGTCCGGCGTGTCCACGGGGCGACAGACCATCAAGGTAATCCCATCTAAGGAACTGGCAGTGGGCTCCAGAGCAAGGTGAAGTCCTAAGGGTGTAGTCCATTAGGAGTAAATGAGGAAGGTCACAGGAGACAATTAAGCCAGTAAAAAAAGAGTATGTTTAGTGCAAATTTAAATGCATTATTTGCATGGGGAGTGAGAAAACTTTTAGCAAAGATGAGGTCAGCAAAATTATTTTATTGGACTTGTCCAGTTTCCTGGGATTTTTTAGCTCAGCTGGGAAGAGCCTGGTGCTGCCATGGACTTACCCTGGTAAAGCCTCCCTCCCCCTCTGCCTGCTAGACTACTCATCTGGCCTAGACACCAGACATATGAGGGATAGAGAAAGGGGAAGAACACACACAGGGCTGCTTACAATCTCCCCCCACCCTCCAGTCCCCGTGACAAAGAAGCCAACATTCCAGCTCTGAAATGCCATGCAGTCACTCAACAGGATGCTTGAACATCATATTCCATGAGATGGGGAAATCCTCAAGCCATACTAGTAAGGAAAAAAAGCAGAAAACAAATCATTAGCAGTGTGATCTTAACTACCTCTGTATCCACACCTTCACAGCCCTACCGAGTGGGACTCAAAGGAAATCAGTCAAAGTGGTAACGGGCTCACTCCCTCTGGTTGTGGGTTTATTTCTTTTTTCTTTCTTGTTGTATTTTCCAAATATTCAGCAGTGAGCATGTAGTGCGTTTGTTATAGAAAAAGATGCGGGAAGCCTTGGGTGACTCAGCTATTGGGCATCTGCCTTTGGCTCAGGGCCTGATCCCAAATTCCCTGGATCGAGTCCTGCATCAGTCTCCTTGCATGGAGCCTTCTTCTCTTTCCTCTGCCTGTGTCTCTGCCTCTCTCTCTGTGCATGTCTCTCATGAATAAATTAAATAAAATCTTAAAAAAAGAAAAAGATGCTAAATTTTATTCAGGTAATAGAGTCACACAAACCAGGTGCCCTGCTTGCTCAGCCCATGCTCTGTGGTTGTTTATAAGGTCACAGGTGTCTGAGCCACCGAGGGAAGACAGTCTCAGCTGGCTCCTTAATAACACAATAGTTAATATAATAATGGCCATTTATTGAGAAATTGTTATAGTCTAGGCACTCTGCATGTTTGTCTGCAATCCACATGACCTGACTGTTGTATAAGGCAGGTATCTGACCTGATTTTATAAGTGAGGAGCCTATAAAGGGACAGGTCAGGATCTGCTTGCCCAGGCCACCCTGCAGCTGTAATAGGTGGAGGTAATGGCTCTGGTCTGGGTCCCTCTGAGGTCCCTCTGAGACCCCTCAAAGCATGGGTGCTTGCCTGGCAGCGTGGCCATCACCTGTGCGCTTGCTAGAAGAGCAGCACGGAAGATCCCTCAGGCCTCAGGTCTGCATTTTCTTTCTTTCTTTTTTTTTTAAACAACAGAAGTTTTTTTTTTTAATTTATTTATGATAGTCACAGAGAGAGAGAGAGAGAGAGAGAGAGAGAGAGAGAGAGGCAGAGACATAGGCAGAGGGAGAAGCAGGCTCCATGCACTGGGAGCCTGACGTGGGATTCGATCCCGGGTCTCCAGGATCGCGCCCTGGGCCAAAGGCAGGCACCAAACCGCTGCGCCACCCAGGGATCCCAGGTCTGCATTTTCAAAAGATATGCAGGTGATATTTGTGTGCACGTTGCGGCAGGAGACGTGAAGCCATAGCACATCTTGCTGCTGTCCCTACCACCTGTGGCCTGTACAGCACACCTGTGGGCACACCTGGACATATTGTGGCATGACCTATGTCAGCCAGGTCCCTTTAAATCCACGTTAAATCAAACAGAAAAAAAAAAGGGTTGGCTTGGTGGGGGGAAGGGGGAGAGACTGTGGGTGATGGTGGAGTTGCCACAAAGTCATAACAACCTGAAAAACTTGACACTGACGGTGCGGTTGGCATTATGATGCCTAGTACGGTGATAATCTTTTCTCCCTTTTTCAAAAGTTGTGGTCCTTGGCGATTATTTATCCCAGTCTGACCTCGTGTCCTAAGCTTTTATAAAGGGGCATGTGTGCATCTAGGTACAATGGGGGTTTCATGTCTTTCCAGTCCTTCCCTGCACCATGAGGACAGTTTCCTTCTCTGAGCTGTCTCTTGGTCCCCCTTCTCTCCCCATGGTTCGCAGCTCCTCCCCCCGTCCTCTGTGGCAGCCAGGGCTGAAGGCCTGAGTGATGATGGGGTTGCTAGTATGCTGGGCAGCATGCAGGAGCTCCAACACTCACTGTCTTGTTCCGTCCTTTCGAGACCTCATCAGAGGTCACGGGCACTTGTCACATAAGGAGAGTTGGCCCTAAGAGCTTAGGTAACTTGCTCACAGGTCACAGCTAGAGTCATTACTCAGCCACTCATGTTGGGGCATTCACTCTCAGCAGTGAGCTGAGGACAGATGGTCCTGTAAGACCAAGGACTGGGTTTTTGGTTTTGTTTTTTTTTTGTTTTTTTCCAGAAGATATAGCTGGCTTGACTCCCACTTTTTCTAGTTGCTAAAGCTTCTCCAAATTCTCCAAACATGCTTTGAAATATTTAAAACTATCCCCAGTCATCTGTGTTATTGTCCAACGTCATTTCACATGAAGTCCCGATGGTTATCCTAGGAAAGCGCCAAGCATTGTGCCCCATTGACAGAAGTCATCACTTAGGGAGGTCGGCGGAAAAAGCCGGGGATGGGGGCTATTGATGGGCTGTGGGACTCTGCTTGAGTAATTTAGTTTGTTTGGAGCTCAGTTTCTCTCCCAACCAAATGGGAGTAATAATGTACGCAGCTCACGGAAGTCTTCGTGAGCTTTGCTGAGTGGCCAGGCTTGTCTGAGGAGCATAAACATCTGTTAGAAGGAAAGGGAAGGAGATATTTTATTGGTTTTGTACTTGGAGGAAATGGCAGACTGGAAAAATCATCTGGGGCCAGGTTATTAAATGTTTTGTATTCACGTACATTGATGCATAAAAGCGTTTTGCTCTACACCGTGGCTACTTAGGTTGTGGAAATGAATACCGTCTGTGGTTTCCACACAGAAGCCTTGAGAGGGACTGTTACACGGATGTGGCCCTTCCTCTGTATGAAAACCTCAACATCGTGGAGCAGCCCGTGAACCTGAGCAGCCTGGCACACAAATATGCTGAGAAAGCTATCCGGTTCATCCAGCATGCAAGGTAAGAGTCCCCTGCCCCCCACCCCGCACCCCAGGGCTGCCCCCTGCTCCCACCCACCATGTCCCCTGGCCTCAGCACCCTTCTCAACCTCGGTGGAGTTCCATCTCCCAACAGAGATGGATGCATGCATGTTTCCTATAAATAAAGCTAGACAACAGTTTCCCCTGGAATCTCCAGGCCTGGGTTCGAGGCTCCTCCGGTATGTTCCCAGAGTTCTGGGAGCTTTCCCCTGCCCCTGCTCAGATCATGCACTATTGTCATCATCGTTTTGTCCTCTCCTATAAGCTCCTGGACGGTAGGGCCTGCTGCTGGATCCTGGGCACTCAAGACGTTTGTTGATTCATTAATTGGCAGGATGTATTAGCGTTGTACTGCTGCTATAACAAACGTATCACCAACTTATCAGCTAAAATAACAGCAGTTTATTCTCACACAGATCTGGAGGTTGCGTGTCCAAAATAAGTCTTATGGGGGCTAGCATCAAGGTATCAGCAGGGCTATCTCCTTCTGGAGCTTCCAGGGGAGAAATGTTTCTCGCTTCTTCCATCTTCTGGTGGCTGTTGGCATCCCTTGGCTTAGGGCCACATCATTCTAATATCTGTTTCTATTGCCCCTTTGCCTTCTTGTCTTCTGTAGTCAAATCTCCCTCTGCCTCCCTCTTTTAAGGACACTTGCGATTATGTTGAGAGTCTTCCAGGTGAATCCGAGGTAGTCTCCCTATCTCCAGAACCTTAATTCAATTGCATCTGCAGCATCTCTCTTGCCATAAAAGGTAACACTCGCAGATTCCAGGGATGAGCCCCAGATACCTTTGGGGGCCGTTATTCAATGTAACACACAGGGTTTGCCAATTCTAGCATCTACAGGGCCCTGGTAGCTTACAGAGGGAAGCAGGCTGAGTGTCAGGCTTTAGGGAGTGGTGGGGGCTGTGGTGAACTTGAAAGCACAGGCCCCATCTAAGGGAACAGCTGCTACCTTGCTCTAGCTGCCCGTGGCTTCTTTAGGGGATAGGAGCCAAGACCGTCAGATCCTTTTATTTCGTAAGACACACAAGATACCTGGCCCTGGTGTGACATCTCCTGATCTTTAAATGTCTAGAAATGACTCATTAAAAATAACGAAAACCAAAAAGCAGAAGCAGGCCACACCCCTGGGTGCTCATGCACAGGCTGTGGGGTGTAAGCATGTGCTCACACACGGTCACCCTGCCCCTACCACCTTGGCCTTACTCTGACCCTACATAGCTGCCTTTGCTCTGGCCTCTAATGAGCCTCTGTGTGCTCAGCTCATCTTTCTCCCAGGACTGCAAACTCCTCCAGGGCAGTGGAACAGTTTCCAGCAGGTTCTTTGCTATTCCCTATAGCCTTAACCTAAGAGGGCGAGAAAAAAATGTGTCACATGCCTGTTTGCTTGTGCAGAATTAAAAAGGGACTCCACCTGTGGATAACTGAGCGTATTGGTCTTTAAATGTATAAGAATCCCTCCCAACCCCTTGCTCAGCGCAGATTTTTCTAGAGAGCAGGGCAACAGGCAGAGCAGAGGCAGCAATTTTTTCTCGATAATAAAAACTTCTTATGGCCTAAATCTGGGGAACAGCTTCAGGGGCCACATCTTTTAAGTGTTTTGGGGCTCTCAGAAACACTGGCCTTTTTTCACATGGCTGAGATGAAACAGGCAAGCCCCTTCTCCCATCTGGAGAGCTGAACACATGTCTGTTCCCTGGAGCTTCGAGATGGCTCAGGTCCCTGTGCCCTGTGACAGGTGGACGCTTCATGGCTGGTGGGGACAGTCTGCAGTGTTTTAGACAGCAGAGCACTCTCAGAGGAGGAGTGGGAGCTCACTGGGGATGGGGGACGGCTTCACGCTCTCAAGTGGGCACAGGGCTGTTCATCCACCAGTTAACTAATCACCTACCAGGCAGATGCATGAATAATCTCCTTATCGTATGAAAAAGGTGAAGAGTTTGCTAATGTATTAATTAGCTATTTTTTAAAAAGATTTTATTTACTTATTCATGAAAGACACACAGAGAGAGAGGCAGAGACACAGGCAGAGGGAGAAGCAGGTTCCATGCAGGGAGCCTGACGTGGGACTCGATCCCGGGGCCTCTAGGATCAAGCCCTGGGCCAAAGGCAGACGCTCAACCACTGAGCCACCCAGGCGTCCCTATTAATTATCTGTTAAGTGAAGAGTCACATGAATCCCTTGGGTGTGCTGATTTCTTTAGGATTTGACTTGCCAATTCATCCATGATTTTTGGAGCATCAGCAAGAAAGGCCCCCAGATCTGTACTCCTCCTCTGTGACGCTTGCCCCCGGGGCCAGGCCCTCCCCAACCTGGGCCCGTTTGTCAGAACTATGGGAAGTCTCCAGAGTGGGGTTTCCTGCTCCTCCTTGGCAAGAGGCCCACCCTAGACTTCTTTGAAAATTTCTACTCTCTTAGATCTTTAGTCAAATGCAGACCCCTGACCTAGCAGCGTGCCCAAAGCTAACCCCGGATCTGGGTGTTTTAAACAGCAGGTGTAGCTCTTACCTGGCAGAAAAAGAGAAAGCAGATGTCATGGGCTCCTGGGTCATGGAGCTGCCAGTCCCGTGTGCCTCCCAGGGTCTGGGATGATGGCATGCTGAGCCCGAATATGAAATACGGGGCCTGACAAGGGTGAGGGTGCTGGGCTCAGGCCTGAGCGATAGCTTAGGGTACTTGAAGTCAGAGTGCATGGTCGGCGAGGCAGAGTGTGAGGCAGAGTGTTCATCACTCAGAACAAGGTCCCAGGGGGACACCTGGGTGGCTCAGTGGTTTGGCATCTGCCTTCGACCCAGGGTGTGATCCTGGAGACCCCGGATTGAGTCCCATGTCAGGCTCCCTGCATGGGGCCTGCTTCTCTCTCTCTGCCTCTCTCTATATATCTCTCATGAATAAATAAATAAAATCTTAAAGAAAAAAAGAAAAAAAGAAGAAGGTCATGGGGATACACAGGTGCCAAATGAGCCCTCTCCACCCCACCTGTCTGGGCTGGAGCCAAGGAGCCGTGTCAAGACTTTGATGCCCTCCCCCACCTGACTTGACCCCGCCCTGGCATTGCCGTCTCCCTGCTGGTCTGCCCCTCACCTGTACCCACCAACCTGCCCCCTGCATCAGGGCTCTGCATTCGACTATGAGCTCATGCTCCCCCCCAAACTCATGCTTTCCTCTCTCTCCTGTGCAAATGGTCCGATGAATACAGAGTGAGGAAAAGAAGGAGCTAAGGGATAGTGGGACCTGGAGTCTTGCTCTCCTGCAGCTTCTCCCTGGCCCTGTTGCACCTGCTCCAGCAGCCACCAGCACAACCCACCTGTAGCCCCCCATCTGTAGGCTTCAAAGTCTTAAGGATCTTTTGCCTTACCCCAAACCCGGCTCAGTTCCCCCATTACACTGTCCCACAGCGCCCTGTATATAGTTCTTCTCCATCACTCTTACTAATTTGCAAATAATTATCGGATTACTTTTTTAGTTGCATTTTCCTCTCCTGTTTCCAATAGGATGTGAAGCTCCAAGAAGTTGAAAATCATCTCTATCATGTTCCTTGCTCTGTGCCCACTACCTGAGGGCTAGTTAGAGCTTAATAAATATTCCTTGAGTGAGTGAATGACTTTATCTTGCCCTGAAGGCGTGCCGGTGTTGTGCTAGGGATACAAACGTGAATTAGATCTGTCCTTGCTTTTGAGTGGCTCCCAGGCTGGTGGAGAAACAGATTTGTGGGAAGCTGGTGTTAACAGTGTGTATTATCAATACTGATGAGTATGGTGAGGGAGGGGAGCAGGACACCATCCGTGACCTGGGTGCACAGGAGGCATGTTGATGGCTTAGAGCTGGATCTTAAGCACTGAGTAAGTATTTATAGGCGGGATACCAGGGAGGTGATTGCCAGGAGAGGAATGGTGTGACCAGGGCACAGGAAGGCAGAAGGTGAGGTGTTTGAGAAGCTGGCATATATAGAGAGGGTCTCTGAGAGGAAGGAGGGGAAGGCTGCAAGGGACCCAGGCTGGGAATGGCCTTGAATGCTGGGCTGCTGGGTTGGGGCCAACCCAGAGGGCTATAGTCGAGCTCCTCCCATGTGCTTCTAAAGAGGGAACTGGGTTCACAACTGGGTTTGAGAACGCTGTCTGTAACACAGAAGCCCCGAGAAACATGGAGAAATGTGGGGGCAAGCCATTCCAGAGACACCCCTTATCCAGAGCCAGAAACCAACCAGGCAGATGCCTACCCCTCCTTGCTACCCCCGGCCGGTCTGGCTCTCTGGCCGGATGCCCACTGGGGACCTTTCATGATAAGTGGGTGCCCCCCACCCACCACTTTCTATTTCTGATCAGATTATTATTTTTGAAAAAGATTGTATTTTTTATAATAAATTTATTTTTTTATTGGTGTCAATTTGCCAAAAAGATTGTATTTATTTATTTATTCATGAGAGACACACAGAGAAAGGCACAGGCAGAGGGAGATGCAGGCTCCCTGCAGGGAGCCCCATGCGGAACTCGATCCCAGGACCCCGGGATCACAACCTGAGCTGAAGGCAGACGCTCAACCACTGACCCACCCAGGCGCCTCTCACATGATTTATTTAATTGCATTTATTGGAGTCTTGCTCTCATTTAATCTTTAATCATTGCCGTGTCTAACAACTGGCTTGCAAAATTCCTGGAGTTGGGGCTTGCCTTATGGTATCTACCTGTTAGAAAAAAGCGCCCCCTCTGGGTGGCTGCTGATCCCTGCTGGGGCACCCAGGTTGGCCAAGGCACTGCAGGGCTGGAATTAGGCATCTATTCATCGTCTCAGCAGGACGTCCTGGTGCAGGACACAACTTATACAACTGTACTTTATCGTCCCCAGGACAGCGGGCAACAGACACTAAGTCAACACTACCCAATGGAACTCTTCACAAGGATGAGAATGTTCTCTATCTGTGCTGTCCAAGATGGTAGCCACAGGCCACCTGTGGCTACTGAGCATCTGACAGAGCCGGCTTGGGCAACCGAAACATACAATTTTAATATATGTGTATAGTGATAAATATACATAACGTAACATTTACCTTCCTAAGTGTACGTTCCGGTGGCATTAAACACATTCACGTTGTTATACAACCATCACCACCATCCATCTGCAGAACTTTTTTCATCATATCAAACTGAAGCTCTGTACTCATTAGACACCAGTTTCCCCTTCCTTTCAGTCCCTAGTTCCCATCATTCTACTTTCTATCTCTATGAAGTTGACCACTCTTGGTACCTTCTCTAGGTAGAGTCATACAGTATTTGTCCTTTGGCGACTGGCTTATTTCACTTAGCACAGTGTCTTCAAGACTCATCTGTGTTGTAGCTGGTGAGACACTGAATTCTTAATTTTATTTAATTTTCATTCACTGAGGGGTGCCTGGGTGGTTCAGTCAGTTAAGCACCTGCCTTCGACTCGGGTCATGATCCCAGGGTCCTGGAATTGAGCCCCACATCGGGCTCCCTGCCCAGCAGGAAGTCTGCTTCTCTCTCTCTCTCTCTCTCTCTCTCTCTCTCTCTCTCTCTCTCTCTCTTCCTCCTCTCAAATAAATAAATAAAATCTTAACAAAATTTTTTCAGCCATTGAAATCTAAGCCACGTACAAGTCGTGGCTGCTGCTTTGGACAACGCAGCCCTGGAAATATTGCAGAGAAACTGTTGGTTAAGATGAAGAGGAGTCCCCTGTCTCAGGACTTGTGTTCTGAGTTTTATGCCTGTCGACAGGCACAGCCCTAATCAGGGAGGCCCAGGAATTGGAATGCAAGAAGCTCTGCAAGGTGTGGTTTGAGGCAGAGCTGGGGACACTCAGAGCTATGGGGTGGTGTAAATTGGGGTAAGCTAAATAATTGAGAGCCAACTTGAAAATACAGTCGTGGGGGAGCTGGTGTAAAGTGAGCCATGCTCCGATCACCTCTCTGTACCAACTTGATGGCATTGTCCTTTTGTCCTTAGTACATACCCCGAAAGATGTGCTCCCCCATAGGTGTGGTCTGTGGAATGGGGCTCCATGGAGGTCCCTGCTGCTTCAGGAGGGGCGAGGCTGGAATTCTGCGGCTGGCTGGATCCCGTTCCTTACCTGGGAATGGAGGTGGGGGACAGCCAGGAAACAGAGGCCGCCCAGGCTCCCTCCACTCCCAAGAGGGGAAGCGTCAGGGTCCAGATGGGGGCAGCCAGCGCCTGAGCCACTAACAGAGCCTTGACCTAGATGTTCCCAGTGCTCATGTGTGTCCCTGGAATTGCCTGTGGTCAACATGAGTCATTCATTCATCTCCTGGAAAGGGCCGAGGCTGGGAATGGATGTGACGACCTGGATGCCATGAAAGAGCAGATCCGGTTTTAAAATATGTTTGTACTGGATTCTGGAGTGTGGCATTTAGGAGCCAAGGCTTTGCTGTCAGCTGTGGCATTTAGGAGCCAAGGCTTTGCTGTCAGCCAGATGAGAGTTTGAATCCAGATGGTATCACTTACTAGTTAGGTAGCCGTAGACAAGTCCTTTTCGTCTCCCTGGGCCTCTGATGCTTCATCTGGGAAAGGAACTGGAGGGTTATTGTGAGGGTGAAAGAGGCAGCACAAATCGGATTTCATAAGTGTTCAGCCAATAATAAAGGACAGTGACAATTATTACGATGACTCCCAGTTTGTAACTGGCTGACCCGATGACTTCCACGTTCCCTTGGAAGGTTGTAGACCTGTGTGTATTCCTGAGCACGTGGGGCAGACGGTGTTCTGGGACTTTTCTCTGAGGCAAAGGAGAGCCACGGAGACACTGGACGAGCCAGCAAGGCCTTCTGGAGAGTTACTTCTTGGCTTTCCCATTGCAGCGCCAGCGGAAGGCCCTTCCTGCTATACATGGGCCTGGCCCACATGCACGTGCCCATATCCAGGACCCAGCTCTCAGCAGACGCACGGGGTCGAAGGCCATACGGTGCAGGTCTCCGGGAGATGGACAGCCTGGTGGGCCAGATCAAGGACAAAGTTGACCGCACAGCCAAAGAAAACACATTCCTCTGGTTCACAGGTGAAGTAGTAAAACCCAGCTAGCTCCCTGAGATCTAATGGATAACCCTGCCCATGGCCCCTCGGAAGAGCAGAATCTGGCTAAGGGATCCTCTTTCACAGGGCAGGGGCCTGGCTTTGAACTTGGCGTCCTGCTAGTGTTTGTTGGCCTGAGTGCTGAGCACCTGTCCCCTGGGGCCTCCGAGGCCGAGCCCCTGGAAAAGTTTGTGCAGAGAGCAAGGTACCCTGCTGGCCTCTTTGGTATTGGTTTAGGGCCATCTGGGTAGTGACTTTGACATTGCAAATCCGTGTAGTCCTTGGGTGGTTCTGAGGTTCCCTCCTCACCATCGTCCCAGTCCCAGAGACCCCAGAGACGCCAGCTGCCACCGGTGGTCACACCTTTTGGCCGAGTGCGCTGAACTAGTGAACTGTTTAAAGGGCCTACGCAGGCATTGTGGGTCCTGGGTGCCTTTCTGGAATTGGGGGGAGTGGAGTGGTGGTTGGAAGCGGTGCTCTCGGGGCAGGCAGAGACCTGGGTTTGAAACTGCTCAGAACTATTGGAAAAGGCACTTTACCTTCTCTGAGCCAGTTTCCTCACGTGCAAAACTGAGCTCACACTAGCATCTACTGCTTAGCGTGTTGGACGATCCTGAGATCCTGTAAGGGAGGCGCTGGGTGCGTCAGGCTCTCAGGAAAGAGCTGCAGGGCTGAGGATAGTAAAAGCAAAGGAGAAGGTAAAAGCATCTGAGACAAGAGGCTCGCTCGCCCTGGGGCTCACCTGGGCCAGGGAAAGCCCACCTCTTGGAAGCCCAGCCTCATAGAACAGGTCATTCTTCGGGGGCAGGGATCATGTTTGATTTTACAGCTTCTTCTCCTTCCCAGCGCCCTGCTCTGCACGGAGATGTGGGACCAGGGAGGGAGCATCGGCAAAAGTGTCCACAGGCCAGTTGATGGCTACCTGTTGCTTCTTTTGGTTTCCAGGAGACAATGGCCCGTGGGCTCAGAAGTGTGAGCTGGCAGGTAGCGTGGGTCCCTTCACTGGATTGTGGCAAACTCATCAAGGTAGGGGCTCAACTGGGGTTGGTGCATCCCACTGGGGATGCTGAGCCCAGGTGGGGCTGTGGGGTCTGTCTTGGGGAGGATCAACTCATACGCAGGCTTCTTGGCCATCATCATGATACTCAGACAAGTTGCTCACCAGCCACCAGCTCCCAGGGAAGGAATAAACTGAGAGATGAGAGTTTCTATTAAGCTTGGACCCACCCCTTTCTCTCCATCTATCTCCTACCGCCCCCGGGCTCCCTCAGGGCATGAACTCTGAGTCCAGGAACCTTCCAACAAATACACTTAACCTTGAACTTTATCCCACTGCCTTCACTCATCCTCCTTCTTTTCTTTTCTTTCCTTTTTATTTTTTTTCACTCATCCCTCCCTCCATCCAACCATGAATTCATTCCATTCATTTAGGAGACATTCAGGGCATAATACACAAGGTTTTGATATACATAATCCCTAAACCTTACAACGTTGGAAAGGAGGTAGTAACGCCTCTGTTTACAGATGAAGGAGAGCCTCAGAGACATGTGCTCGGGGACCTCACCTTCTAACACAGCTACTGCCCTGGGGACAATCTGGCAGAAAGGACCAAAGGCTTGGAACACAGGCCGGTGGATGCATCAGTTCTTCCGGATTAGCCAAGTGCAAATGCTGTATGTGAAAGGATGCTCATTGCAAGGTTTTTTAAATATTTTTTTAAGATTTTATTTATCTATTCATGAGAGACACACAGAGGCAGAGACATAGGCAAAGGGAGAAGCAGGTTCCCTGCGGGGAACCCAATGTGGGACTCAACCCCCAAACGCCGAGACCACGCAGTGAGCTGAAGGCAGATGCTCAACCTCTGAGCCGCCCAGGTGCCCCACATAGTTTTTAAACAAAACAAAACAAACAAACAAAAAAAAAAACCAAAGAGTTGGGCATTACCCAAGGATCCAGCAAGAGAGGAGTGCTTAAGGAAATGGTGACATGCACATTTAAGGAAATTCTAGGGAACTGCTGAAATGATGCATATTATTGACCTGGAAACATTTACCTTAAATACTTTTCAGTGAATAAAGCAGGTTACAGAGCGATATGTAAAGTATGATCTTATTCTATGAAAATAAGCATACCAATTCTCAGAAAAATCTTGAGAGAGGTATGGGCAGTTGATAAGACATGAGAGGTGGTTACCTTTGGGGAGGGGAAGGAGGATCTAAATGTGATTTTTTTTTTTCTCACAAAAACCTGGTCCTATTTGTGTCCTACAATATTAAAATAAATTTTTGGAAGGTGCTTATATCCAAGGGGTTCAGAGGTGGGCTTGGGGGGGATCACCCCCTCCCCGGGCTGGGCTTTCCCTACTGACCAGCTCCTGAGCTATGGCATTCACTGTCTCCAGGTCAGAGGACACAGACTGTTTTTCCTATTAGTCTGGCAGTTACCTAGAAAGTAGAACTTTTGTGTATCTCATGGTTGGGGACAAGAAGGAAGTGCTGATGCTTTTTTTTTTTTTTTGTCACCTTTAACCTGGTGTCTGTTCAGATCTCTTGAGAACTTCACAAGTGGGCGGCTGCCCTTGACTATAGCCAGGTGCTGTGCCTGGAGATTCCAGTTGGAGGTCAGGAGAACTGGGGGCCACCTCCCCCTGACCTGCTTGGTGACCAGGGGGCTTCATCGGTCAGGGTGTTGTGTCTCTCTATACATATTGATCTCTTTGACTAGTCCCATTCGGGAATGTTCTCTGGGGGTAGAGAGATACAGTGGGAGCTGGGAGTAGTTTTGCATTAGCTGATCCTCCTCTCCATACCTGGGATACCCTCAGACCAGGCTACTGGCCCTAATGCTCAGTTGGAACGCCTGAAGGAGCCTGGAATCGGAACTCTCCAGTGTAAAATTCCAGAAAGCTATGGAGACCTTGGATGGGGTCTCCATGTACCAGTAAGTGGCTCCTCTGTTCCCTAAGAAGGTGACCTCTGATCTCCTATCTAGACCAGCCTTATCTTCTTTCTCTCCCCTTTATGACAGTTTTGAAATCACGAATTAGGTTTTGTGATGGGGAGTGGGGTCCTGTTCTTTGAGGGGAGTACTTTGCCCTGTGAGAAACAGAATTATGAGGGGCGCCTGGGTGGCTCAGTCGGTTAAGAGTCTGGCTCTTGGTTTCCGCTCAGGCCATGATCTCAGGGTTGGGGGATGGAGCCCCACGTAAGGCTTGGTGCTCAGCATGGAGTCTGCTTGGGATTCTCTCTTTCCCCACCTGCCCCTCCCCCTGCCCTCTTTCAAATAAATAAATAAAATCTTTTAAAAAAACACACACACACAATTAGGGGCACCTGGTGGCTCAGTGGTTGAGCGTCTGCCTCTGGCTCAGGTTGTGATCCTGGGGTCCTGGGGTCAAGTCCCACATCTGGCTCCCCACAGGGAACCTACTTTCCCCTCTGCCTATGTCTCTGCCTCTCTCTCTGTGTCTCTCATGAATAAACAAATACAATCTTAAAAAAAAAAAACACCCCACAATTATGATGAGCTGGGCAGCCTCCACTTCTCCTTTCCTTGGTTTGACCTTCAGGCATTTGTTGAGCACCTACTCTGTGCCAGCAAGTAGGGATGCAAAGATCAACAAAGCCCCTGGCTTTATGACCGTCTAGAGCAGTGTTTCTCAGATTTTATTTTTTTTTAAGATTTTATTTATTTATTAGGGAGAGAGAGAGAGCACACACACATAAGCAGAGGGGGAGGGACAGACGGAGAAACAGACTTCTGATAAGCAGGAAGCCTGACTCCAGGCTTGATCCCAGGACCCTGAGATCATGACCTGAGCTGAAGGCAGACACTTAATCAGCTGAGCCACCCAGGTGTCCCTGTTTCTCAGATTTTATTTATTTATTTATTTATTTATTTATTTATTTAGTTAGTTAGTTAGTTAGTTAGTTAGTTAGTTGTTGTTGTTGTTGTTGTTTCTCAGATTTTAACGTGCAGACAGTCCTCTGGGGACCCTCTAGTTCAGACTCAGTAGTTCTGGGATAGCCATGAGCATGTTGAATTTCTAAGAGGCTCCTAGGTGACACTGAAATGTTTGGTCCGGGAATCACCCATAGAACCACCAAACTAGAATATCCACGTGGAAACCATATGAATCTAGAACTTTCAGATGGAGACCAGCAGTTACCAAGCTATGGCCTCGGATCTGGCAGTAGTAGCGCTACCTGAGAACTTGTTAGAAGTGCTAATTCTAGGGCCTCACCCCAGACCTGCTGAGTCACAAACTCTGGGGAGGGACCCTGGCAACCTGTGTTTTACCTTGTCCTTCAGGTGATTTTTGGTGCAGGTTAAAATCTGGGTGCCACCTGTCGAGAGCTACCCTGTCTCGTACACCTGGCGCCCTGGCCACGCTGCAAGGGCCCAGAAGCCACATATGGCTGGTGGCTACCATAGTGGACAGTGTGAACAGAGACCATTTCCATCACTGCAGGCAGTTCTGTTGGACTGTGCTGGGAGCCTCCACTTCAGCAGGAGATTGTAATATGGGTAAGGACTCCATGATAAAGAGGAGCACGAGCACATCTCATCCACATGAGAAAGACACAGGAAGGCTTCCCCGAGTGGTATGAGTTTTGAAGAATGAGTAGGCCACAGCTAGGGATGTGCAGGGGAGGGGGCCGTGAGCAGCCCGGGGAAGCGGCGGGAAGAGCACAGCACAGGAGCTGCCTAGTTGTGTGTGTGTCCAGAGCTCGTAGAAGTGGGTCATGTAGGGGGAGGCGAGGCCAGAGTGAGAGCCGGGGTTAGTGGTCAAGGGTCTTTTGTTTCAGACAGACCATTTAGGCCTTGATTCTAAAGAAACATGGATTTGTGGAGGAAACGTTTTATGAGTAAAGGCGACATTTTTCAATTTTTTATTTGAAGTGAGATTCTGGGACAGAAGATGGACCCTCTTAGTGTGTACAACTCACTGGCATTGAGCACATTCACTGCAGAGCCCCCAGACACCTCCCCGCCCCCAGAGAAAACCACATACCCCTAAACACTTGCCTCCCATCTCTCACTCTTCCTGGCCTCTTGGTCAATTTTAAGACATCCCTCTTAGGTTGGTGGGGCTGAGGGCAGAGAGAGGGACAAGGCTAGACCCGTTTCCACCAAGCCCTGGGTGATAAATGAGGACAGCAGGTGACTGAATCCCCAGCCAAATCCCTGCACTCAAAGAATGCCAGGGTAGGAGGACACCTCCGCGATCTTTGTTCCAACCACCCTGTTGGCCACACGAGGAAACTGAGGTGGAGCAGGGCGGAGGGCTTTCCGAGGCCAGCCATTGGCCAAGGGGGCCTTGTCTTCTGACCCCCACCAGCTCATAACCCAACCTACACCATGGCTGTAGTCACACCTTGTTCTACTCGGCTAACTGCTCAGCCGTCTGGAAAATCCCGTGTTGCTTCTTTGGACTTCACGGTTGTCAAGAAAAATGTCTTTGGCTCCCGTAACAGTGTGAATCTTTCTAAATCTGCAGGAGGCTGAGTGGAGAGGTGGAGGGAGCTCATGGCTTTGGAAGCCCCAATGGGGCTCCAATCTCAACCCCACTTACGAATCGGTGCCCACCGGGCCCCTCCCCTGGCCAACCCAGTTTCCTCCTTCTGTAAGGTAGGACTGTAGACCCCACTCGCTGGATGGATGGGAGCATCAGATGGGGTGCTGCCCACCATCATCAGATGGGGGCACCCAGCCTTGTGCGTGTCCTCTACTAACCCCCATGATTCTCCGTGTCTTCATTCCCAGCTGAGTCAACTGGTTGGTGTTAATTAAGCTAAACTGGTCAGTATTAGTGTCTAGCCCTACCGAAGGCTGCGGGCAACTTAAATAACATATGGATGACTTTCCGAGTGTTTGGAGCCTCAGTCTTGGAAACTTTGCTCTGAAGCTGGATTTCAGTCTTCTCATTTCATACTCTGGCGAATCTGGATCTTTTTACTTGGAACACATGTTTTACAATACGTGTACGTCGGGGGTCACCGCAGTGCCTTTGGCGCCAAGTC